ATACTACATTTTTGGCACACAAAATAATTATTTAATTTCCAATTTAGTACAATAGGCATCATACGGGAAAATACCTCACACAATACAAATGCATCTCCAGTAACCTACTCACCACAGCGAAGAGCCGATGACTGTTGCGAGTTGCATGTTATGTACAAACAGTTTGTCTAAATCTTTTGTTTCATTGTATGATATATACGGTACCTTCTTCAGTCATAAATTTAAGAAGCCGAGTCACTCTCTTTCTTCGATCAACAAAAAAATTATTATTCGTCAATTATCCTACGAATATGAAAACTTTCAATAAGGACTCGAATAGGAATGCAAATATAGTACGTACTTCAATTTCTAACAGTAACATATTCAAATACAGTGACCCCCCGGTTAACGAACTCAATCCGTTCCAGATGGTCGTTCGTTAACCGAAAAGTTCGTTAACCGAAACCATTGTTTCAATGGGTTTTTGGGTAATTGGTTCCAGCTCACCGAAAATTTCCTAAATTCAACAAAAATGGTAGAAAAGTTCACTTACTTTGAGGTGTGTATGTAGAAGGCTCCTGGATGATGATGATGATGGGAATTAGAATGGGGGTGGAGGAGAAGGAAGAAGAGAAGGCATTGGGGTGGAAGAGAAGTCACCCCATGGCACCATTTCACCCATAAAATTTTAGTTCTCTTGGTGTAATTCAAGATTATTTTCCTTAAATCAACACTGCACTGCATTATATACTGTCAATATGTAAAATATATTTCAAAATGACCAATAATTTGCTTGGAAACACAGAAAAAAAGCGTTTAGTTGAAGAGCGTCTCAAGCAAGATGTTACCTCCAGTGAAAACAGAGAGACTAACGCCTGTTTGCTGTGTTAAGAGGCTGGATGCCGCGCATTAAACTAGTCACTTTACCTTCAATTATGTTCAATAATTGTTAAAATGACTAAAAAATTGAATATTAAACTTTTAAAATTATTGAATAGTATAAACTTCTTGATATTTACTAAAATAGTAAGGAATTTAAGCCCTAGAACCAATTAATGTATTGGCGGACTGACACTAAAGCTGGTTGCCCGGTCAGTGCAAGCAAAAACATGTTGAGGTCGGTTCGTAAGAAATTCGTTAACCGAATTTTTGTTCGTTAACCGAATTGAAGATCCATATGGAAGGCAGTTCGTTAACCGAAATTTTGTTAACCGAGGCGTTCGTTAAACGAGGGGTCACTGTACTGTACAGTGGGGTATGCTATAACGAACGGATCCTACTACGAATATTCCTATAACGAACAGTTTTACCTAAAAAATTGAGAATGCTATAACAAACGAAACTCCTACAACGAACATTATTTAAAAAAAAAAAATTTTATTACAAGTATTAATTATATTCTTTATTTCAGGGGTTTAGATGCATATGTATGCACTTTTTTACATTTTTTACAATTTTATATTATATTTTTCAGTGTTAAGTGGTTGTATTTGGGGGCCTGGAACGGATTAATGCTATAACGAACAAGGTTCTAGAACCAATTAGATTAGTTATAGCATACCCCACTGTACAGTACAAATAAGAATACCATACCCTGAAATGCTGTATTCAAATGCATTCGAATATCAATACCGAATACGAATCTAGTACAGTACGCCCGGATAATTCACGGATCTTTATTTCGCCGTCCTCTATTATTCGCGTATGAAACCCTGGATGTACCTAAGAATGTCTGTGGGTAGTTTTAAAGCTGCCGGTATTTTTGCAGCTGGGACAGGGAGCCATTCATTCTAGAGACACATACAAATAAATAATAATGGGAAAATCCTCTCACAAAAATCAGAAACAAATTTATAAAAAATGTGATAGTCCACCCTCAAGTCTATTCCGTGCCTTATTAATAACAAATCACGGAGTAGACCTGAGGGTGAACTCAAATTTTTTATAAATTTGTTTCTGATTATTTGGGAGAGGATTTTCTCATTATTATTTATATGTATGTGTTTTGTGTGTGTGTGTCTACACACACACATACAGTATATACAGCACTGTACATTACAGGTAAAAGAAATAATTGTCCTAAGGTTACTCACGGATTTGGCGATTCGAGGCCATTTTGAGAACCTAACCCCGCGAATTTTGGGGGGCCCCCTGTACATTTCTTTGTTCACAAGTAAAAATGTACCCCCCCCCCCAGGTCAGCAAATGTTATTCGCGGATTTGGCGACTCGCGACCATTTTGAGAACCTAACCCCAGCGAATTTGAAGGGCATGCTGTACTCCATCCCTGGTGTGTATGTGTGTGTTCGCACAGGTGTGTATATATATATATATATATATATATATATATATATATATATCCTTTGATAGAACTTATGAGTCTTTTGCAAAACAGAAATACAGCAGGGGCAAATAATAAATTTCTTACCTTTTTCACTTTCTTCACTAGACTCAAGTGCAATGAGAGAGCAATCTTGAGATCCATCTTTTGCCATCAAACCAGGGTCATCTTTAGGGGACCCTACATTCAGAAAAAAAAAATGAAAAGATGTAAATATTGTATTCAAGTGTCATCCCAGGCATTCACACAAGGTAACAATACCAGGAAGGTACTCATCAGAAGTAAAACCCTCGCCCTTGGGTGAACTTCAACATGAATGTACGATTGCATTTAAACCAGATTTAAACCAACTTTTCTATGGCCAATAGCCAACGCATCTCCCTGTTTCCTAAAATTTTAACACCTCATTCTTCCTGGACAGTATCTTTAATCACACACTTGACCTCAACCACTTATCATTTTCTAGTGGTTAATCATTTAGCTACCCTCCATACAGCAATATGTTGCTTTACTGGTCTAAAAGACTGTCAAAAGCATCTAACCACTTCCCACACAGACATGCACACAGCGAGTCTCTACACAATATGAAACCAACAAAATTTTGTTTTAAGACTACATCAATGATAGCTTTACTGTATTGTATATACAGATATACAGTACACTACATGTATATAAATAAACACCACCTGTGGTGCAAAGTGAAAAATAGCTATATGCTGTCATTAAGAAAGATACTGGCAACTCAATAATGTGCAAAGTGAGTACACAAAAGGTGCAGTGCAGTAGATGGCAAACTGCAGGATGTTCCTGACTTTAAGTGTACTGTACTGTATGTGCAAGTAATCAGGTGGCCTTAGCAAGGCTGGAGAAACTCAACATTGGGGATATACTGTATCCCTGGGCTTTCAATGAGTTCTGTTAACTTGAGATATATGATCATGCTGGAGGGGGCACTGAAGCAAGCTTATTTACAAGTCAGAAATGACTAGAGGAAGGTTAAGAAGATGGTACCTTTACTGACAGCAATAAAGGCAGAGTGATGGTGTATGGCAATGAAACAAGGGAAGTTAAAGAGGATGACACACACTAATTGCGGTTGAACCACGCAAGTGTGGAAAATGGCCATAAAACATTGATGATGATTTTGAGGATGCCTTTAAATCATCTCGTAAAAGATATCTCTTGTCCAAGTATTAATATTTTTATAACATTTACCGTACCATCAAAAACATTATATTACATACAGTATTGTCATGTTGACAGAAATTACCATTGCAATAATTATATACTGTATATACTTGCCATCAAAGCCCGTATCCTGGCTGTGTCTGTCCCCTCGTTTCACTTTTATATAATTCATGTTACATTGCTTCCCTCACTTATTAGATTGCTGTATATCAACTCTACTGTGAGATATGTATATACAGTATTTATAATATAAATGTAACAATTAAATAAATAATAAATTAATATATAAAAAAAAATTAAATAAATAATAAAAAACAATAATCGTGGGAACATTTTCATATGTATTTACTGCACTAACACCATGTTACGTGTGCTAATGTAGATAATATTAAATGTTATATAATAATTCCTTGAGATAAATGCATAGTATAAATCAGGTGCCACTAAGAGAGCTCATACTCTCAACTGGACTCGGCCGTGTCATTATTGTCCACTCTTTATCTTTATTTTTTTTAAATAAAACTGTTTCGATATCCATATGCAAGACTCCGTAAATGGTGAAAACAAAGCAATCAAACTTAAAAATTCACATTCAAATCTTGGCACATTTTAAATCTGAAACTGTGTGGATTATTGAGTATTTTGTACTGTTGAGCTTTTACCCGAAAACAGCAGCGATCATAAATAGATGATAAACATTTTCTGTCCCTGTACTATATATATTACAGTATCGATATGATAACTAAATTTCAGAATTACCAATAATCTTAATATAAAAAATGCAGAAATATTCAAGAGACCAACTTTCTTGATATTTACTCCACTGGAAACGAATGTAAACATAGAACTGATTACTGTATTGGCAGACTGGCCGATCAGCTGATGCGCACGACAAAACGTGTTTGTCGTTAGGATTTCGTTAATCGAACTGAAAATCCTTATGGGAGCTAATTCGTTAACCGAAATTTCATTAATCGAACCGTTCGTTAACCGAGGGACCACAATAATTCTTTTTAGTTTAGAACCTAATTTCTGCACGAGTGATTTATTGTGACGCATGGCAACTACAGAATTACATCCCCACGTCCCTCCCTCCACTAACAGCATATCGTCATATACTGTATCTGGCAATTCCATTGGTACTCCACGAGGAAAGACCCCTCATCATAGTAGTGTTGCCTTGACACCCAGAAAAATAAGTAAAATATTATGAGAATCAGAATGGAAGTGAGAATGAAGAACTGGTAGACTTAATGAATAAATTTAGAAATGAGAGCTGGCGTTTGAGCTTCAGCAATAGTGACACTGACAAGCTAGTCATCCACGGAGGAGAAATACTTAAGAGACCAGGAGAAAAGTCATGAAGAGAGCAAAGAAAATATGCTTCTCCACACATTACACATATACCAGGTAAGAGTGCATCATCAACACATGCAAAACGTGTTCATGGTTCAGGAGATTGGAGTAGTGGCAATGATTTGGGCTGTAAAATCATCATGGAAAAACAAAGCTGTAGTACAAAACCACCGTAAATGAACTTTTGTTTGTTTTCACCCTTACCCATGTTGATGCCCCAAGCCCATAAACCTGTTCTTTGTGATTACTGAAAGAAATATGACTATCTGAGTACACATGTGTTTGGGAAGTACACGGAGAGGGACAGGTACCGACAGTGTTGTCAGGACTCAAATCCACATTCATCGTAAGCCCAGCCCCATCACATCTCAGTCCCTATTATCATAAAATTAAAAAATACATTATTTTCATCTTGATACTTGTAAATAATTTGTCTCATTGAAATTTTTCATTAGCCTGAAACATTGTGCGAGGAAGAGGGAAGATGAAGCGTGTAGCAATGGCCCCTACCTCCCACCTGGTAACATACAGCACAGTATGCAGTATCTTCCTTCCCATTGTTTGTGGCTCTGATTAACAATCAGTAAGCAAAATTTGTCCTTTTGATAAGAAAATTTTATAAAGCGTCATCTTTCTGTCAGAGAAAATAGTTTGACCGTAAAAAACTAAATGACATTTAGCTAAGGGTTAATTATAATAGTAGTGATAATATTTTCAGTAATGTACAGTAGTATTTCATTTTCTTTATGCAAACATATAGTATTGTGCTAAACACATATATATATACTGTATGCCTGTACAATACATAAATAATTATTACACACAATTTCTCACAAATGCATAACCCTCCTCTCTTACAGGTTCTTCTATGGGATTATTAATTTCACTTTACATGCTTTTGCTTATGATACTTTTTAGGAACCTACCTATCAGTCTTTGGTTCAGTTTTTACAGAATTTCCACTTTTTGTTTACACTTAGCACTTTACCTTTCCTTTTCGTAGCTCTTGTGTTATTAAATTCAGTTCTATTACTTTGGTGTGTTTAAGGTTACCATCAAAGAAAAAATCAAATCAACATTAAACAAAGTATAGAGCACACCCAGCCTGATGATCAAACCAAAATCATCATTACACAAGGTGTCTGTGACCACAATGTTTGCACCATGTAAACAAAGCTGGAACTTTAAGATGACATAATAACTCATTAAGAGTTGAGCATTGGATTTTATTTTCACACATAAAATGTTAGTCAATGTAATACTACAGAACAGTAATACTGTACTGTATAATTATTGTAGATGTTGGCTTTGAATTTCATACTTTTCACTTTGTTTCAAATCTCATCCAGTTTCTCTTTAAATGCAGGTAAAAAATTATTACTAAATTGTACTGCATTAATTTACTTAATATATGTATTATTGTCATATAATTATTGTAAGGAACATATCTCAGCTTCCATAATGGCAGTGTATAGTAGCATTACCGAGCTTGATCACCCACCTTATTCACCAGATTGGTTCCAAATATTCTTCAATGAATCCAAAAATCAAATCCCCACTCAAGGAATATTTATCACCAGTGAGAATATTCATGAGAATGTGAAATAGGCTCTGAAAGCAATTCTAAAACAGAGCTCAAATTTTTTTAGCAATGACAGCATCATTGTAATACACTAAGTCCATATCCTCCGAAGGTGACAACTTCGAAGGGGATGACACTCATCTGGAGGTACAGGTATGATTGCTAAAATAAAAACACCCTTTACTTTAGTCACACCTTGTACATAACAAAGGTGAAACAATACAGTACAGAAATAAAATAGTATAAAGCACATGATTATTAACCTTACTGGTGCATGTGGTAGTAAGCACGTCACAGCATTAAGCAGCATATAAATAAAAATACAGTAATGTCACACAGCGTGTGTGACTGCCCAAGGCTAGCTTCAACATGTGTTGTCAGTGTGGTTGGTCATCCAGAAGCTGCATGGAACCCACAAAAGAAAACAGAAAATTCAGAATAAAGATGCCAAAAAGTTTAACGCAGCATTCACTGTGGGAATCACAATACTGTACTGTACACTAAAAAATGCAAATGCAACGTTATTATTCCTAAAAAGCTAAATCAGGATAATCACATCCTTACCTAAGCTGTTCAGTCCTAGGCAAGGAAAAAAGTCCCGATTTAATTTTTGTTATAGTGGGGGCTGCAAGAGGTCAAAGCACATCCAGCCTCCATGGTACTGTATGTACAGTATATAATTGTGTTCATGCTCCTTGGCTGACTCAGTCACTATCTTTGTCAAGAGGTGTAACTTATGTGCAGCTATTAGTGTGTGCACTGCCTGTGACACTCAACATGTGGCACAAAACTAAGATATTCAATTAAAGATGATAGTACCCTACTAGTAGTCATTATATACCAGGTATACAGTGATAGCAATTTATGGGCTAATACTTTACTTCTGTGTTTTATATACTGTATGCATTTACACATTGCTATACAGAACAGATACTGAAACAAGAAAAATATGGGGAGCAGTGGGGAGTTTATAGTTGTGGGATACTATACCATTTTGTACGCATTTATTAATCCTCATCGCTTAAAGATATTAATATACAGACACTCCTCGACT